CTTATGTATGGATTCCTTATTTCTTCTATACCAATTATAGGTTTTTGTGTTTGGTTATCATAGAGTTCATATATAACCCCCAAGTATACAGCATTCTATTTTAAGTGGATGGTGACTTAAGTGTGAACACATTTAAAAGCACTGTATTTTTCTACTTCTCTCCAATTTTTATGTATATGATACCACATCCCTTAATTATTATAGATATATAATCGATTTTGCCATTCTTGCTTTCGACCTTTATAGCTCTTTATTTTCCCCTTTAAAAAGTCTCGAACATTTCTTGTAAGGTCAGCATAGTGGTAATAAACTAGGTATCCAATTCTGAATGATGTTTATTTTTTTTGTAGGTGTTTCCCTTTTAGCACACTGAATATAACATGTCACTCCATTCTGGTCTGCAACATTTCTGCTGAAGAACCAGCCGATACCCTCTGGGAGTTCTTTGTGACTAGTTGCTTTTCTCTTGCTCTTTTTAAGACACCCCCCCCCCTTTTTTTGACATTTTAAATATATGTGTGTTTGTGTGGACATCTTTCTATTCATCTTGTTGAGATATGTTTCATTCCCCAGTTTGACATTTTCAACTATCATTTTTTTTTAGTACACTTTATGCCCCTTTTTCTCTTTTCCAGGGAGCTAGAATATGAATGTTACTATGCTTGATACATTGTCCAAGAGATCCCTTAACCTATTCTTTTTTCTTTTTGTTATTCAGCTTGGGTGCTTTCCATTACCTATCTTCCAGATCACTGATTCATTCTTTATCCTCTAATCTGTTGATTCCTTCTGCTGTATTTTTCATTTCAGTTATTATATTCTACAGCTCAGATTGGTTGGGGTTTAATTTTCTATCATCTCTTTAGTAAATTTCTGAGATCATCCACCCTTTCTTGAGTTCTGTGAGCATCTTTTTGACTATTATTTTGAACTCTTTTTATCTTGATTATTTATTTGGAACAATGGAATTTGACTGTATTAGGTTAGGTCAGCTACATCTCCTGGTCTTAAAAGCAGCAGCCTTCTGTAGAAAGTGTCCTGGGGGGCCCAGTATATAATACTTTTTGGTCACCAGGGGTGACTCCTGGATGGGCTGGGCTGGCCGCCAATAGGTGGGGTTAGCTCCCAGCACAGCTGGCTGTAGCTGCAGCTGGGTGGGAGGGGCCAGCCTCTAGTAGAGCTGGCTGAGAGGCCTTACCACAACTGCTGTGGACATGCTGTAGGCAGAGCTGGCTGCCCTCCCCAACCCCTAAGGTAGATGGAAAGTGCCTGAACTGGCTCCTGCCAGGCTAGGGTGAGAAAAATGGCATCCCCCCCGCCCCATTACTGTCAAAGAAAGTGCCTATAGATTTCTGCCCCTCCAGCACATGCCCTAAAATTAGTATAATTTTACCTTTATGTATAATCTAGATTATAGAATCTAGATATGCTTTAAACTGCTGCTGCTTGGACCATGTGATATAGTGTTTGTTTGTCCTTCAAGAGAGGAGTCTATTTCCTATAGCTCCCTCAGGCTCTCCCAGTGAACTGCTGCTTCTTGCACCATGTGATATAGTGTTTGTCCTTCAAGAGAGGAGTCTTTATTTCCTATAGCTCCCTCAGGCTCTCCCAGTGTTAAGCCCTAATGATTTGCAAACCCAGCTTTTTAGTGAAAGGTTCCAGGGCTTTGGGCACCCAATGTGGGGCTTGATCCCCTTGCTCCTCAGGGAGTAACTCAACACCTGTGATGTGGATCACCACATTGGGAGTTAAGTTCACAGTATTCTTGTCAATGTGACTTTCTCTTCATGTTTTTAGTTGTGGAGATCTATTCTGCCAGTTACAGGTTATTTTCAGAGTGAGTTCCATTATATGTAGTTGTTGCTTCAAAGTATCCATGGGAGGAAGTGAGCTCAGGATCCTCTTTTTCTACTATTTTCCACACCTATAAACATTTTTTAGAAGGCCTGAACAGTTGTGGGCAAATATATTGAATCCAATTATGAATAATTAATTGATTCAGGTGCATTTACTCTTCCTTTAGTGATACACCTCAAATCTAGTATCACACTCACTGTTGAAAAACTAAAGCCTGGGCGCCTGGGTGGCTCAGTTGGTTGGGCGACTGCCTTCGGCTCAGGTCATGATCCTGGAGTCCTGGGATCGAGTCCTGCATCGGGCTCCCTGCTCGGCAGGGAGTCTGCTTCTCCCTCTGACCCTCCCCCCTCTCATGTGCTCTCTCTCATTCTCTCTCTCAAATAAATAAATAAAAAAATCTTTAAAAAAAAAAAAAAAAAGAAAAACTAAAGCCTTTCCTCTAAAATCAGGAACAATACAAGGATGTCCAGTCTCATCTCTTTTATTCAACATACTACTGGAAGTACTAGCTGCAGCAATTAGAGAAGAAATAACTGTTATCTAAATTGGTAAGGAAGAAGCAAAACTGCCACTATTTCTAGGTGACATGATACCATATATAGAAACCCTAAAGATTTCAACTACTAAAATAAGTGAATTCATCAAAATTGAGGATACAAATATAGAAATCTGCATATCTATACACTAATAACAAACTAGCAGAAAATTTAAGAATATAATCCCACTTATAATTGCATTAAAAAGAATAAAATACCTAGGCATAAATTTAACCAAGTGAAAGACCTATACTTGAAAACTATAAGAAAGACACTGAGGAAGTAATTAAAGGTGACACAAACATGAAAAGATAAACCATGTTAATGGATTGGAAGAATATTTTTAAACCGTGCATTCTACGCAAAGCAATCTATAGGTTCCATGCAATCCTGATCAAAATACCAATAGTTTTTTTCATAGAACTAGAACATACAATCTTAAAACTTGCATGGAACCACAAAAGTCCCCAAACTGCAAAAGCAATTTTGAGAAAGAACCAAGCTAGAGGTACCAGAATTCCAGATTTCAAGATATACTACAAAGCTACAGTAGTCAAAACAGTACAGTACTGACACAAATATAAATACATATATCAAGGGAAGAGGATCTAGACCCCAGAAATAAATCTACACTTTTATGGTAAATTAATCTATGAGAAAAGAGGCAAGAGTATACAATGGGGAAAACATAGTCTCTTCAATAAATGGTATTGGGAGAACTGGACCACTTTCTTACACCATACACAAAAATAAACTCAAAATGGATTAAAGACCTAACTGTAAGATCTGAAACCATAAAACATCTAAAACAAAACAAGCAGCATTTTATGGATATGTCTCCTCAGGTAAGGGAAACAGCAAAAATAAACCACTGAGCCTATGTCAAGCCAGAAAGATTTTGCCCAGTGATGGAAACTATCAACAAAATGAAAAGCAACCAATTTAATGGGAGAAGATATTAGCAAATGATATATCCTACAAAGTGTTAATATTCAAAATATATAAAGAACTCACACAATACCAAATATGATAATCTAATTAAAAATGGGCAGAGAGGGGTGCTCACATGGCTCAGTCCATTAAGTGTCTGCCTTCAGCTCAGGTCATGACCCCAGGGTCCTGGGCATAGGGTTCCCTGCTCATGCACATGTACACACACATGCTCTAATAAAAAAAAATCTTTGAAAAAATTTTAAATTTAAATTTAAAAAAAAATGGCCAAAGAACCTGAATAGACATTTTTCAAAGAAGACATATGGATGGCCAATGGACACAGGAAAAGATGCTCAACATCACTAATTATTAGGGAAATGCAAACCAAAACTACAATAAGATATCACCTCACACCTATCAGAATAGCTAGTATCAAAAAGACAAGAAATAACAGCGTTGGCAGAGATGTGGAGAAAAAGTAGTTTAGTGCACTGTTGGTGAGAATGTAAATTGGGTGCATCCACTATGCAAAACAGTAGGGAGATTCCTTGAAAGTTAAAAATAGAAATACTATCCACTTCCGGGTATTTACCTGTAGAAAATGAAAACCTTAATTCAAAAAGATATATGGACCCCTATGTTTATTAAAGCATTATTTACATGACCCAAGATATGGGAGCAACCTAAGTGTCCACTGAATTGATGAATAGATAAAGGACATATGATGTACATACAAAAGAGAGTATTACTCAGTCATGAAAAAGAATGAAATCTTGCCATTTGCATCAACACGGATGGAACTAGAGAGTATTACGCTAAATGAATTAAGCCAAACAGAGAAAGACAAATACCATATAATTTCATAAACAAATGAGCAAACTATTGCCTTGAGGAGAGGGCAGAGTAGGGATAAGGGAAACAGATAAAGGGGATTAAGAAGTACAATCTTCCAGTTATAAATAAGTCATGGGGATGAAAACTACAGCTTAGGGAAGATGGTCGATAACACTGTAATAACTTCATACGTTGACACATGATTATACTGATTTTGGTGAACATTTTGTAATGTAAAGAATGGGTAAATCACTATGTGATATACCTGACAGTAATATAGTATTGTATATCAACAATTTAAAAAATAATTTTTAATTTACAAAATGTTTACATGTCATTCAACATTATCAGAGTTTAAATAATATGATGATAGGTAAATAAACATTCAAATTCATAAGTAAAATGACTTGGTTCATTTCATTATGTCACATACCTTGTAATTTCAGTTTTGGTCTGGTCTAAACTTACCTATCTCCTTCCATCACTGGTATACCTCCACGAAGTCCTCATACCCTAAAATATCACTGAGCCCATTAAAGCCACCAACAGAGACTGAGCAAAGAATAAAGGGAATCATGGAGACACTAAACCAGCTGATCCCCCCCAGACCTTTCACCCACATGAACACCACTACCAGTGCCACACACAGCACAGCCACCATCCTCCACTCTCGAGACACCTACTGCAGGGGGAGATCAGCTAGACATCCGACTAGAGGGGAGGGACCACTTGGGATGCAAGAAGGAAAGTAGGTGGTATTTCCCAAGGGCCAGGATGTCATCCCCATCTCTAAAAGCAGGCACTGCAGGAAAGGTGACAGACTTCCACAATGGCACCTACCTTGTCAGTGTCACTCTGTTCTGGGAAGGCCAGGTCTCTGTCCTCCTGATCATCCACCCAGTGAAGGAGTATCTGCTCTCTTGAGGGCAAGGAACCAAGGCCATGACAGGGTTATTTTCAGAGGTAAATTTGTCAATGGCACCACTCATGTCTTCGCTGAATATGGCCTGACCCTAAACTCAAGTGCTGAGCTGCGTGAGACCTCAGCACACACCCTGTGAGGCCCTGATTCACATGACCACTCAGAATGGAGAGATTCTTATCTTACTGTCAAGGAATAAAGCCTTTTTCACACATAAATATACTTTTAAACACTCTGAGATGTTCCCATGGGCAGAGCTATATTGCCCATCTCAATTAATATTGAACATGACATTTTCAGATGCCTCTTCTCCTCAAGGTCTGGTGAGACATGTGGTGTGTTTGTGAGATCCCTTTTTATGACTCCCACTGCCAAGATCGGCATTCTCACCAAAATGTTCATTAACAGAGGGCTGCCCAAAGTAGAACTCTGTGTTATATGTACTTTTACTTTCCCATGATAATCAGTATTCTCAGATTCAATCATGTCTTTTACTGCAGACCTAGGTTTACAAAATATGTTCAGTGTAAAAGTATTCTGTGTTTAAAATGTTACACCAAAAAAGGATTCTTTGATAAAATGAACATCCATGTGCTTTCATCCCCCATATCCTATTATGTAGATTCCACCTCTTAAATATCTTTTGCATTCATCCATTTCTCTCCATGCCTAGTGCTGCTGAGTTCAGATTATCACCTCATTTAGACTACTTGTCATAGCTTCCCTCCCAACAATCCTACCATCTCTAATCCACTGTCCACACTGCATCCTGAGTAATCTTTCCCAAAAGCCAACTCCTACTGGTCATCTCCAGTTGATCTCAAGATCAGACTCTCCTCAGCATGTGCTGCTCAGGTTGAAGGAGTCCATATTCACCAAATTGTGATGTAGTGATTCTTAAAAGCCACCAGTTAACAGGCCTCCACAAACTGGGATATAAGCATATTTCTCTCATCAATCATGGCTGCATCAATTCTATATCTTTCTTCCCTTGCTCACAATAGATGCTCACTCCTTGGTCTACCAGTTCTCCATTAAGCTGGAAAACTTCATTGCTTAGAATGAACTATCATGATCTTTTCATGAGCCATTCTGCAAAGGGTAACTCTGTACCACCACAAATACAGAACCTGTGGGCCAAGCCCTGAGACAACTTATCAGTTCCAGATTCTTTTGCTCCTTTGCTAACTTTAAGTTTCAGAAGCTCAGTCTAATTCCTCTTCCTTTCCATTCTGCTACTATCCATTTTGATCCTGAGGAATAATTTTCCCTAAGCCTAACGACAGAGTGGAATGCTACCTTCTTCCCTCAAGCTTTCAAAAAATATGCTAAGAGGAAATAAAATATGGATAGCAAATACGGAAAAAATAACATGCATTCCAGATTTCATGTAGCTATCCAAGTGTTGATCTGTAGTCCCTGACTCCCTTCTGAAATAAGTAAAAGCTCAGTTGGGTTTCTGTTCTTTCTCTTTGATCTCTGATGGTGCATCACACCAAATCTTTTCCTACCCACTAACCATTCTTATGCCTAAAGTCACAGTAAGGATGAAAATGTGATCTCTTCCCTTTTTTCTGAATTGAACCTGAGAGTCATGTACAGCAGAGAATTAAGTACCACTTATATTTGTTATACCTAGCACCTGGATCCCCATTCCTCCTATATTCCCTTTTACATATACACATACACAGGTTTGAAACAAAGAGTGAGTCAAAAGGAGGATAAGAGCTCTGAAGCAGGAAGACTCATCAGCTGGAGGAAAAGAAATGCAATTATATTTATTCATGCATCAGACTAAACATGACTTTCTGCCAGCCTCTTTGAAGATACTAGGGAGATAGCCGTGAATCAGGCAAATGCACTACCTTCCTTGATATAGTTCACAATCATCAGAAGGTGAGTTTCTAGGAAAAATGGAAGGTAAGCATAGCAAGAAACGTAGATAAAGAAGCAGGAACCCTGTGAAAAAAGGTCTGCATACCATGCTAAGGAGCCTGAAGTCCTTAAGTAAGTCATTGGGATTTTAAATAGTAATGAATGCAGTTGCATTTGCAACTAGAAAGGGTGTTCTGGCAGTTGTATTGAAGAATATAGGTGGGATAAAACTGAGGCAGCTTGGTTAATTAGAAGCTCACAGTAATCCAAGAAAACTATTACATGAACTTGAATAAGTGATGCAGAAACAATGAAAGAAGAGAACTTGCTTATTAGATAAATATTTTGAATTGAAAATCCCAGGACACACTGATTGCATGGGGCAGATAAGCAGAGTGGCCCTGGATTTCAGGTGCTCTCAGAAAGGTAGACAGTTTTCCAAAATGCTAATCCATATACAATGTCCAATACATAGAAAATTCACAACAATAGTTTTCAGTTGTAGAAAATTTTAAATTATTTTTTACTCACAAACAAAAGACTTCTATTACCTATATTGTATGGACAGACAGCAGGCTAATTTGTTATCTTATTTTCTGAAGGTTCAATGCGGGAGTTGAAATGGTGAAACCTCTTAAACTCATGGACATCTCCAATGTAATAATAAGTTTGTTCTGTCCTGTGGTGGGTGGTGCTTGGCGTGGGTCTTCCAAGAGACATTCTTATGCAGGGGTAAGTTTATCAATATGAATCCTAGTAATCATGGATTTCCTGGAGCACAATTCCTAGCCGGTGTTTGTGATGTCAGTCACCTTGGATTTTAAAGAGAGAAATCAGCTCAAGGAACCCCTTTATTTCAAATTTTTTTTATAACAGATTTTTATAGTTGTTTATCCAAAAGGGGAAAGTGTTAGTATTCTACATTCATATTTAAACATGGTAGTGCATCTCCTAGAGTCAGTGATCTGTCTGGGGCACTGTGCAAATGTCTTTGATGGTTACCCACAGCTTCAGAATAGGAACATTTTGGTTTGGTTATCCTAATTCTCTGTTGGCATAACTTCCTAACCTTTAGTTTATGCACTTAGCAATTTTATATGGAGTGTCCTTTTTATTAAATGTGTTTTAGTGGCAAATGCAAAGCCATGTTACTTATAAAAGAATAATGTTTATACTTGGCTTTAAAATAACTTTCTATAAAGCCTATTTGAGTTTACCAATAACATTCATTTTGAGATTTATTTCAACTAATGATTTATTGCCTAATATTTATTCATGTATTCTGCAAATGTTTATTAAGGTTCTAATAAATATGAGGAATTATGGGCAAATGGAGAAAAATAAATGTTCAGCAAGGTTGCAATCCAAAAGACATTCAACCTACCAATTCTATGAAGAAAGTAAAAAGGCAAGGGCTTATGTTAAAGTTGATATTTGACTTAGCCCTGAAGGATATCTGTAGACAGAGAATGAGGTGAAAGAGAAAACTCATAAAGATCATGAGTAGGGTTGCCAGGTTTAGCAAATAATCATCTAGGGTATAAGTTAAATTTGAGTAATTTCTAAGTGTTTATGCATATTACATAAGATAAAGAGTAAATACGGCACAGAAAATACACTAAGTTATTCCTTATTAGAAATAATTCAAATTTAATTTGGCATCCTGTATTTTTTTTTTATCTGATAACTCTACTTGTAAGCAAAATCACCATGGACTTTGTTCAATAGGCCAATGGAGTGAGAGTATTTAGTGGACCATAGCAAAGGAAGAGGCTAGAAAGAAAGGAAGAAACCAAATGACCATGCTGAGAATTTTAAGGTTCATTCAGTAAGCTTTTGAAAGCTACAAAAATCAACTAAGGAAGAGAGTGATATGATCCACTTTGTGCTCTGAAAAGCTATTTCACAAATTTAACAAAATGTGCATGATCTAGGGGCGCCTGGGTGGCTCAGTCCATTAAGTGTCTACCTTCGGCTCAGGTCATGATCTTGAGGTCCTGGGATCAAGCCCTGCATTGGACTCCCTGCTCAGCCAGGAGCCTGCTTCTCCCTCTGCCCCTCCGCCCTGCCTGTGCTCTCTCTCACTCTATCTCAAATAAATAAAATCTTTTTTAAAAAAATTTAAAAATTTTTAAAATGTGCATGATCTACAGAAAGAGACGTTTCATGTTACTAAGTGATAAACTAAGGGGCTTTTTTTCTTCTATTTCTATAAATGTTGTTGGATGGGATGACTTGATGTTGAAAGGTGTCAAAGTGGCTTAAAACAAAAATATATCATCTTGCAGTTCTGTGGTTTAGTAGTCAAACATCTGTCTCACTGAGCTAAAATAAAGGTATTGGCAGCATTCTTTTCTGGAGGCTCTAGGGCAGAATCTGCTTCCTTGCCTTTTCCAGCTTCTAGAGGTGCCCTTGTTCCTCCTCACAGCCCCCTCCACCATTTCACAAAGCTACAACAATAGGTCAAGTCCCCACATCACATCCTTCTGACCCACTCTTCTGCCTCCCTCTCCCCCTTTTGAGGACACATGAGATTTAGATTGGTCCTACCTGGATCATCCAGGAAAATCTCCCATCTCAAAATCCATACCTATAATCATATCTGGAAAGTCCCTTTTGCCAGGGAAGGTAACATATTCACAGGTCCCAGGGATTAGAATGCAGGTATCTTTGGGGAGACATTAGTCTCTCTACCGTAATCTTTAAACTAATCAATAAATATAATGGAATCTTATTATTAACATACTGTTAAGTAAATGTTAATACTAATCATAAGGAATTTGTTATATATCTGATATATATATATATATATATATATATATATATATTAGCTTGACACTTGGCAAAATGAATACCTTGACACATAAATATTGTACAAGATATGGTTTACAATAATAAGCTTAAAGGCTCTCTTCTCACCAAAGCATGCCACTACATTATTAGGATGGGTGTATGGATCTTATGATTCCAGGGTAACAATATTCAGTCATCCAGGGTGCAATGCTATCAAACCTCACAGAAACCCAACCATGTCACACTAAAATTTTAATATAATTATAGGATTATGGAAACTCTCTTTAGCAAACCAAATCACCAGGACTTAGTTATTCCAGGATTACCTGAAAAATTCTTATTTCAGAATTTTCCAATTCTTCCACCATCACTATTTTTCCACTTTGCCCACAGGTTACAAACACAGTACAACCATGCTTATGACTATTCTGTGGATCTAGACAACCAGGGAATGCAAGGTCTATGGGGGACTAAGCATGGGGAGTAAAGCAGAGACTGGGCGTGGTCTCCCAGTATCCCTTCTCCCTTCCCTCTTTGGTAACAAAACACCATTATTTATCTGGGCCCATGGTCACCCACCTAAAGGCTATAGTCTTCCTTGCAGCTAGTGGTGACCATAACTATATTTTGGCCAAGATTATGAGTGGAAGTGCTATGGGAAACATCTAGGTCATGCCTTAAGAGTAAAACAACTTGCCCTCCCCTTCCTATTGATTAAACTCTAGATATAATGCTGAGAGATCAAAGAGCCATGTTAGACCATGAGATTGCTGTCATATATTTAAAATAGCACCATGGGGTGCCTGGGTGGCTCAGTCGATTGGGTGTCTGCCTTCGGCTCAGGTCATGGTCCTGGGATTGAGCCCCACATCAGGCTCCCTGCTCAGCGGGGAGCCTGCTTCTCTCTATCCCTCCACCTCTCCCTCCCACCCTCCCACTCGTGCATGCTCTCTATCTCAAATAAATAAATAAAATCTTAAAAAAAAAAAAAGAATAGCACCTTGATTGTGATGATGGTATCATGGGTATAAGCATATGTTCAAATTCACCCAACTGCATACATTAAATACATGTAGTTATTTGTTGTCAGTTATACCTCAGTAAAGCTATAAGAAACTAATAAAGTTAAGATTATCATACCTTCTCCAAAAAAAGAGTGGCAGAATAAGGCAGAAGGAACTGGAGCCCTTGAAACCATGGAACATCATATTGGCCTTGGCCTGCTTACTTTAGGACTGTTATGTGAGGAATAAATAAATTTATATTTTTAAGTCATTATTATTTGCTTCCTGTCTAATACAGAATATGGTATCAGTACAGAAATGCTATGTAACAAACCTAAAATAGAAGGCATTCACTCAGTGGGGATGGGGAGGGGCATAGTGAGTTAAAAGGAAACTTGACAGGTGAGAAATCTGATGATTTTCATTATGCCATAGCAAAACTTTTGGTGCATTGCTACATACAATGCCTTGGAAGGCAGACATGTGCTAACAGAGCCTGTAATTCTAATGGAACTTGCTGGAAAATCTCAGAATATTAGTTTGTGTTGTCTGCTGTATGTTACTTTTTGTGAAATCCTATTTTTAAAATATCAATTCAAACTAGGTATTTTACTATTTGGATTTTTTTAAATGTGGGTGTATTATATTTTTAAGCTAGTTTTTAACAAAAATATTCCTATGGAAAAAAATTTCATAGAGAAAATAAAACTACTGCTTCATTAATGGAACAAAGGTAAGTAGTTTGGTGCAAGGACACCAATTTTTAGACCACTAATATTCAAGTTAGAGACAAAGAGCTAACTATGGGAGAAAATTAACAAGAAGGAGTCAAGATGACTCAAATGAATGAGTAGAAGTGGCTAAAACAAAGCTGGTGATCAAAAAATAGTAAGAGGAAGGGAAGGAATTAGGAAATAGGAGTGTGAGGAAGAGAGAAAGAAATCAACAAAGGGAAGGACAAAGAAAGAAGGTTAGATATTTAATTTATGCCAATAAAATCACTTACCACAAGTGTTTCTGTTACTAGAGAGTGAAAAAATAAAAGACAAGTACCAAGTCAGAATGAAGATTCCTGTCCCTGGTAGTTATACTTCAGAAGGAAGGTAGATTACAATATTTTATAACCAGATTCAGATAAATACAATTGAAATAAATGACTGTTTGAAAGGAAAATTCTTTTACCTCCTGGGAGACTCTATACTGCACCAGTGGATCGAATACTTACCCAAACTTGCAAAAAGTATGTAATTATTTTACATTCTTCAGAAATTCAGGCTGATACTAAAGGATTTTTAATGAGATCTCTATTCTCTCATTTCGGTTATTTTATTTTCAACTTCATTTAGATTTCTAGATTTGAGCCTTTTAATTTAAAATATGTTTTATTCCCTTTTTCACAAGAAATGTTGTTCCTTTTTATAAATTCCAATGAAAACTTTACATTTTGATTGATATTTCATACATATGAACAGATAACCTACCCTAAAGTGTAGGATGTTCCAATCAAAAATAATCTAGATAGATGAGTATTTTAAATGATAGAATATTCTTTTTAAAAATATTAATCATTGCCTTTGAGTTAAATTTTTTATTAGCACTAAATTTTTTTGATCTTCATGGAACTGGAATTTTTTTGAGTATTTATTTATTTGAGAGACAGAGAGCATGAGTGAGGGGGGAAAGGGAGAAGCAGACTCCCCGCTGAGCACAGAGCCTGATCCCAGGACCTTGAGATCATGACCTGGGCCAAAGGTGGACCCTTAACTGACTGAGCCACCCAGGCACCCCATGCAACTGAAATTTTTAAGAAACATTTGCTTTTGGATGCAGACAGACACATTTAGATTGGGTGGAAAAAACATAGCTACTCTTTTGTCACTCTTTCAGCTCTAATCTGTGACAGATGATGGTTATATCCCTCAGGAAATTGACTGGATATCAGGTGACAAAAATGAAAAGA